CTATCATTGTTCTTTGACCACTTCTTAATCTTCATTACCTGTGTGCTTAGTGGATGCATAAAACATTTGTATAAAGATTTTCTTTTATTTAAAATTCTTAAATACAATATTTTATCATTTCACATAGGCTGGGGTGTATGTAAATATTTATGGGATAATAGGCACACTAGAGTTTTAACATACCTAATTGTTAAAAATGATGAAAGCAAGCTTATGAAAATGAGTTTAGAAACAGTTGTCTTTTGTCTGCAGCCATGCTTTGGTCTCTGCAGAATTTAAAATAGCATTTAAAAGCTAGTAGTCAATAGTTAACTATTGAGACAATTAAAATGATGCATAGACCTTTGGATTTTTCCTGATGCTACAGCAGTACCATGCCTACATTTTCACATGCTGAGTAGCAGCCGCCATTTGCTTCAATCTTTTGATCTGATTATATTGTATTTGAGTTGAAATCCTTACTACAGTGATTCATTCTGGGGTAATTAGTGAATAAAGCATAAGTCTTTGGAGTTTATTCATTTTTACCGATTTATGATTAAGAAATTTCCTTATTTCAATGGTATTCAACCGCTAGCTCACAAAAAAGTTAACTGCTGCTTAACACCTGGTATGCTTGGAACATGTAGCGTGATTACTGTAATGCTACAGACATGGAAATATTGATATTAAAGATTTTTGATTTAGTGATCACAAAAATATTTGTCTTCACTGGTCTGCGTGTATAGAATGAATTCTGATTGATAATATATCACCAATTATGTTAGTGGTTTAAGGAATTAGAAATCGGTTCATCTAGGTATACTCTCTTGAACTGACAACTTTTTTCAGTTTCTGTTTTATATAGGAGGTGGGAAAGCCTATTGCATTCTAGCTAATTAGGTTATGTAGCAAATAAGTATGTCATTTAGCTATTAAAGGTGAGTAGTCAAAAGATGAAGCTGTGGAGCTTTGGAATGTTTTACATTGATTCTTTCATAGGGGAATGGATTTTGATTTCTTTGAAAGTTGCAACAAATCTAGCAAACATCTAAGGAAAAGCCTAAAACTGACCCACTAAGAACTTCCCTTAGGCAGAAGAATAATAGTATGGGAGTCAAATTCTTCCAACTCTGGTTTGATCCCTAGCATCACATATGGTTTTCCCAAAGTTCTCCAGGAGTGACCCCTGAGTACTGTCAGGTGTGGCCCCAAAACAAACCAAAATAGCTCTAGCTGGAGTTTCGTATTTATGAATAAGTAGATATATGAATACAAATTATTCCTCCAAAATTGCACCGACTGTATACCAGGAACAGTGCTTGGTGCTAGTTTACCATGTTGAACAAGAGACTTACTCCCTGAACTCAGAGGTTAAATCTAATATGGAGGCAGAAGTGAGCAGGCAAACTTCAGTGATATCAAAGACTAAGTCAATCTGAAAGTCAATAAAAGAAAGAAGTGACTTACATAAAAGCAGAATGCTTGAAGTGACATTAAGATTTGCAATGTGTGAGTGAGGTGACAAGTTTGGGAATCATTAGTATCGACCCAGGGAACAACTTGTATGAAGATCCCAAGGTGTGTTTGAACATATTCAAGGAAATGAAAAGACCAAAAAAAGAGGGTAATTGTGAACTCATTACTGTGGAAATTACAGTTTGAAAACAGAATGAGAATGCACAGCTATAACAACTGCTGGGAGGACAAAATGTAGGCTGGAAATGAAGAAATGGATTAAATCACATGGAAATCATTGATCTAAATTTAGTAAAAGCCACTTTAGTACCCTGATAAGGAGAAAGACCACATTTCAGTGTGAAGAGAAGTAGAGACCATAAATACAGGTGGCTTATTAAAAACTGATGTGATTGGCCAGAGAGATCGTACAGTGTTAGATCAGGTACTTGCATTGCATGCATCTGACCCAGGTTCAAGTCTTGGCATTGCATATGATCCTCCAAGTACAGAGGCAGGAGTGATTTCTGAGCACAGCTGTGACCACCCCCTACCCCCCATCCCTCTCTCCCATCACCCGACCCCTTAAAATAAAAAACATGAAGGAATGAGGGAAGGTGGGTTGGCAGCTACATAAGACATGCTTAAATAGACATGGGTTAAGGATTGTAATATAAAATGGGAGCTTTTGAACTGAAAATGGGAGTTTTTCATCAAGCAGCATCAAGATCAAGTAGGGAGGGAAACTAGAGAAACTTGTGTTTGAGCAGTCAAAAGAAGATAGGAGCACATGCTCGGGTCGAGCCTCACCCATGAGTGAACATATTCCTGAAACGTGCGGCCACAAATGCAACCATACAACATCTCATACCTCACACCATTCATATTCCAAGCATAACACACCACGTTTGATAGGGTTTAAAGTAGAAGGCAACCAATCTTAGGTGGTGGAAATATATTTTTACAGATATATATGTATATATACACACACATATACATATGCATATGCACACAAGGCTCAACCTTTAACAACATGTTAGTAATCTCTTACGGAAGGGCTTAATGGCTCCTGGGTGACAACTAACTTCACACACTTTCCTCTAAGAAACTTTTTTGGATCATTTTCAGCAGATTATTTATAACAAACAATACAAAATAATTTTGGTTCTGCTTTGGGGCAGGGGTTTTATAAATATATATATATATATATACACATACATATCTACACATATATATGAGAATTTTTGTAGGTATATTTTCTTTATAGACTGATTTTATAAATAAAGTATGAAGGATATAATATAGTACATTGTGGCATTTTTAAGATAAAAGTGGCTCGGGAGTTGGAAGTGTCTTAACAAATAAATAAGCTGGAGTATTAAAACAAAAACTGAAATCAGAAAACGTTGAATAATTCTGTGGAGTTTTTTTTTGTGGGGAGGTTGCCAGGGACTGAACCCAGAGCCTCAAACCTTTGGAGCCTCAAACCTTTGAAGCATGCTCTCTACTACTGAGGTAAATAACCTGGCACTGTAATTTTTTGTTATTGTTTCTGGGTCACACCTAGCAATGCTCAGGGGTTACTCTTGACTCTGCACTAAGGAATCACTCCTTGCCAGATTCAGGGACACTTTGGGATGCTGGGGATTGAACCCAGGTTGGCCATGTGCAAAATACATGCCCTACCCCACTGTACTATTGCTCCAGTTCCAATTTTTGTTTTTTCTTTTTTTAAGTGTAATGCAAACTCTTTACAGTTGAATTACATTTTTCATTAATTATCACAAATATTGTATTGGTCACATAAGGTAAATATAAGATGGGGGGATTATAGCATTAGAACTTAAGAATGTTTTAAGTATTAGGCAAAAATCATTACTGATAAAATCCTTAATACTCAAAAAGAACAGATTTTTAGATAGTAGTGGTTAAAAGCAAAGATATACTTTGGAACTCACGTATTATCTTTTCATGGACTTATTTCAGAACTATTTATGAAGAAATTGATGATCGTCACTTGAAAGGAACCCAGTCACATACTGAATGTTGAGGTAAAGATTTGAACCTTTCCAAGTTACTGTTTATACTGCATGGTTTCAACAGAATTATCAGTATTTTTCAATTTTGAGGCCGCAACCTACAGTGTGTGGGCTACTTCAGTGCTGAGACCATGCAGTGCTGGGCCTATGCCTGGGTCTCCTGCACGTGAAACATGCTTCCTGTCTTTGCATTTATTTTGTTTTGGGGCCAACACCCAGCAGTCCTCACCTGGGGGCCATATGTGATGCTGGGGATCAAACCCAAGTTGGCCATGCGCAGGGCAAGCATTTTACCACCTGTACTATATCTCTGGCCCTTAGTAGTCACACTTTTTAAAAAGTATTCACATTTTTAAAAGTCTATTTCTGACACTGAGTAAAGTAGTAGTATTAATACGTTTCTTTGAGCACTTAAATTGTAATGCACTATGTACTCACTAATAAAGTCCAGTCTTTGTAACCTTAATATAATCTTGGGAATGCAGAAGTTGGTTTATGGTATAGGAATGAGCAACAGAAATTGAACACTGAAAATCAGACAGTTGTCTTATGTGCAGAGAATGCTTCTTGGGACAGACAGAACCTGTTGTTCACAGCTAGCTCAGGGAGACTTGAATTCTTTCTGCATAAATTTGCTGTACTAATCAAGTAGTAACTGATTAACTATATTTATTCTCCCTACCCCAAGTAGTCTATTCTCACTTTTTCTATTCCAGACTGACTAGTTATCAACAATTGGAAAAGCAAAGAATGGAGGAGACTAGTTATCTTCTATCTATTGCAGGTGAAAGTGATGGCCAGCTCACTAGCTGCATTGGGGATACCAATTCTCTAAAGTTGGTAAAAACTGTCCAGCTTTGGTGCCCATGAAGACCAGGCCTACCAGCAGCACATCAAGTATAGTGGGACTTCTCTCTGCAACCCATGGACTAAGAACAGTTCTAGAGTAACATTTATAGTCCCTAACAACAGCTAAAGCTTTTGAACTAGAGAACTTTTTTGGTAACATATATTCCCTTAAAACTTCCGAAGAAAATTTTACTGTATTGAGGCCAGGGAGTTTAATTGTAGCCTCTTATTTCACAGGTCCTCCTACAGTTAGAAATGATCTTATGGCTAAATGATGAATAGACAAAGATTATTAAAAACTATGAATAGATAAGCCTGAAACACAAGAAATTAAATATTCAGGAAAAATACTGAGTGCCTTCATTTAACTAAAGTGGAATGTGAGAGTCAATTTGCACACTTTAATAGTATTCTTTGTTTAATTTATGTTAGGTACTCTTGAAAAGGTCACTGGCCTGTACATTGAGCTGCTTTTAAATAAGTTTTGATAATTCTAAATATTTCTTTTTTCTTTATACTGCTATTTTCCTCTTTGAACAAAAACTGCTGGAAAATAATTGTGAATTCATTTACATGTTATAAACTACAATGAAAAATAAAATTACTATTAAAAATAATTTAATATTTTTTATGGTTTGTTCACAGAACTTGTGATGTCAGTAGATCTTCATGATCCCATATTTATATTTTAACATTCTAGAACGTAGTATTACAGGAAAAGTTACTAGACATCTCGGACACAGACATTTTGTTTTAATTTCATGACATTGCATTTCATAACAATGAAATTCAGTGCTCTGAATATAAAACAACATTGGATCCTAAAGGAAAAATACAGTCAAACTTTGATATCATAGTATCAACTTACTCATAAAGGGCATAGTGGTTGTTCTTTCATCTTGAACTTTTAAAAATAGTTATTATTCTCAATGAAAGAAAATAAATTATTTTAGAAATAATCAAAATTTCTGACTTAGAGCCAAAAATAACCTGGCACTGAAGGAAAAAGGCCTGCTTTATTATTTATAAGCATTAAGGACTTAAAATACGGAAGGGAACAGCCAATTTAACTGAACCATCAAGTTTATGCCTATATATTTAAGAAAGCTTCTTTTAATCCTACTTATCAAACTAAGTATGGTTTTTAAACAGTCACACAGTCTATAGGCATGTGGATTCCATAAAAAGGCTGTCAGTTTTAGGTATCAGATAAGGAAAAAATATTTTAAATATGTGTTTACATTATTGTAGAGTATTTCTCTGCTGAGAAGACAAGATACATGATTTTCCAAAAATCACAAATCTGAAGATGTCTTTGTTGCTAACTTCAGTTATATCCTGGAACGGGCATGTGCCCCTCCTTTGCTTCAAAAAATGTGTAAGAAAGAGTGATGAAATCAACATTCACCATTCTTGGATCTTCAGCAAATTCAGGATCAATGTAGAAAAACACTGGCATATCTACTTCCTCTTGTGGATTAAGCCTTTGTTCTTCAAAACAGAAGCACTAGAAGTTACAGAAAGATATTTTAGTAATATTCCCATTATATTATCTATAATAGAAACCAATAGTTCATTTCTTGGCTTTGAAAGTCCTGTTAAATTTAACAAATTCTATGACAGAATTTCATTTCACATCAAATTTTAAGAGATGAGATATGATGGGGCCAACCCAGGCTCAGTCACAGGAATCTCCTATGTTCATCCTGTGTTCCCCAGCCACATCCTGCTAGGAGTGATTCTTGAGTGCAGAGCCAGGAGTAAACCCTTAGCACTGCCAGGTGGTACATAAGACAAAAACCAAAAAATTGAGAAATGAATTCTAATCTCAAAAGCAGATACTATTGGTTTGGTTCTCAAACTATGCATAATTGCTATAAGCAATGAAAAAAAAAAAAAGCTTGAGTATTTTTCAAAAAATTAGTACCCACTACAAACACAGCAATGTACTTAGTACTAAGAAATTTTATGTACTTTTTGTAGTAGTTGTTGGTTTTAGGGGCAGATTAGGTAGTGCTCAGTGCTTACTCCTGGCTCTGCTCAGGAATAACAAACTGTACTAGGGTCAGCTGCACGAAAGGCAAGCACCTTAACTACTTTACTATATTTCTGATCCAGTTTTATGTATCATTAGCATATTTTAGAGTTTGCATTTCATACCTGTATTTTATTAAAATATTGTCCAGCTTCAAATGGTACAACATTGTAAGTAGAAATTCCAATCACTGGTTTATCCGTTGGATTCTTAGCTCTATAAAACGCCAGTGCAGTCTCTCCTGGCACAACCTGTTTAAAAGTAAATACAAATCTTTAATACTTCAAATTTCACACAGCACCTCCCTTTCCTACCAAATTAGTCATATTTTTCCAATATTAAGGATTAACAAAATTAATTGAATATTACTTACAAAAGATCTGATTTTTCAAATTTCACTTGCATACAGCAGTGAAAAACCAATGCTCTATTATATTTAGGCAGACTATCCTCTTAAAATATATGAATTCTTAAAAGCAATCTGTAATTAATAACGTGTCTAAAAACAAGTCACAACCCAAACCTAATAATTAGACCGGGATTTCACTACTGACTGAAAATTCCATTTTTAATGGGTGATCAACATTAAACTCAGTTTTTAAACGGAATAAATTAACGTTTTTAACCAAAATAATATTCTGACTGAAAAGAAATGGCATTTAACCCAAAGCATTAAGTTATGTTTCACATATAAGTTATATATTAACTTTAGTACTGCTTTGGCAAGAGTGACAGATAAAGTCTATAAAAATAATCTCATAGGATTATTGTCACTTGTATTACTAATGCCCGAAACCTTCTGTACACTGCAACAGGAAGCAATAAAGTCATAACTTATTAAAGAAATCCAGTCATGTTTACTGATCTGACAAAACACTACAAAGAGGTTCCCCCAAAAGTATCTGAAGTTTTTCTAGTTATTCAGTTCAAAAAATAATTTCAGTGAAATCTGCTGGGATACCAATTAATAGTCTTTCTGAGGTAAAATATGACTACTATAATTATTTTAAAAATCAGCACTGCTGAAGAAATGTATTTTCAATCTGAATCAATATACTATTCATTGTAACCAGGGATTTTTTTTTTAACATCTTTCTTCTTTCATCCAAACTGCAAAGAAACTATTCATGACAGCTGTTCCTAAACTCAGTAATAGTGATCAGAGAACTTAGTGAAATGAAAATGATTCTAATTAAAAATGCACAGCGGGTGGGCGTTTGCCTTGTGTGCAGCCAGCCTAGCCAAGCCGGGTTCAATTCCTCCCCCCTCTCAGAGAGCCCAGCAAGCTATCGAGAGTATCTCGCCCGCATGGCAAAAGCCTGGCAAGCTACCCGTGACATATTCGATATGCCAAACACAGTAACCACAAGTCTCAAAATGGAGACGTTGCTGGGCCCACTTGAGCAAAATCAATGAACAACGAGAGGACAGTGATTTCAAATCCAATTTTTAAATATAATACCATGTAACTTAACATTCTTCCATTATACTATGAAGAATAGTATAATGGAATGGAATAGCCTCGGTTGGCCTGTGGGGGAGTTGAGTGCATGCCTCAGGTATATGAGGTCACATCCTGGCGCCCCAGCACTACTATAGCCCCAGGAGAGTACCACCACCACTATTAAAAAAAAAAAAGTAGCGGGGAAAAATGGAATTATAGTAATGAAGTCTAGTCAGTATTTGGAAACAGACTTTAAATGCGTGTTTTCTAAATTGTCAAAGTTTGATGAAAACTTTCACGCCAAAAAGCGGTATTCTTTGCAACTGCTTTAATCACTTACATATATTTCTGTCTGCTGAGGTCTAAAGTTCCACTGGAGACTGGCATGCACATCGGCATTAAAGGTGACTTTAATAATGCGGTCCTTAACAGGCACCATGTTTTCAATCTGGTCTGATGAATGACCTGCTACTGCTGTTGATCCGCCAAGTCCAGTAGTCTGGAAAAAGATTAAAACCAGCTATGTTAAGTAACACTTTAGTATTGGACAAAAAATAAAAAACACTTAAAACAATTTTAACTTTATATAGCATATTAGCAGTTTTCTATGTCAGTGATTTGACTGGGGGGGCTTCAAGGATCTATGTCTACAATAACCACTTGGTTATCTGGGCTGACAAAAAAAAATAAATGAGTCATTTGGGAGGAAGGAGACTGATGATACAGCTTAGAATTTTTCGCTTACCTTTTATGATATACACTTTCCTTTATTGCTGGTAATTCCTATCAAGTATTAACAGGAATAAAAACCACAATCCTATCATTTCAATGAAACAAATTCTTGTGGATTTCAAGTGAATGTCAATTTTAGTGAAACTGTTTAAATAATTCCATTTCCCAGACTTCTATATGGTTCTTCTCTGTCATAACTTTTATCACACTGATGCTTGAGGTTGCCCAAATTTTGATCTTCTGATAATCTGTTACTATACTAGGGGAAAAACTTCCAAATTTGAAGCTAGGGGAAGGTTCCCAGCAAAATATGGTATTTTCTACTTCTTACACAAGTCTTCTAGCTTCACTCTGTGTGCTGTTGCTCAATTACATTATAAACCTAGAGACTCATTCGAAGAATAACATATTCTTCTATAATGCCTCATTTTGAAGATATAAAGAATCTTTTACATCTTAAGGAATTTTCCTAAAGAATCCAAGTCACTTCTGCTAAAGATACCTTAATCCCTTAGTATATTCCTTCTGGCAGGCAGTTTCTAAATACAGATTCTTTAAATTTCTAAGTGTGGTGACTGGGAAAAATTGAAAGTGCTGGAAAAACATGTGCTGGGCTCTACTCATTCGTTCACTAACTAAAAGAACTGAATTCTTCATTTTACACCTCACCTAACTCATAAAATGAGGTCACTGTATAAAGTAGTTTGTATAATCCCTAATTTTTGTTGTTGTTGCTGTTGTTGGCATCAAAAGAGAAAGATGCTTTTGAAAATGTCATTCTAATGCTCAATCTAAATTCAGGACTAAAAACAACAATTACTTTTATTTTCTTGCCACGTACTTGCACAGAAATTATATTCAAATTATGTTCATTTCCGCTTGGAGCAGGTTTCTAAAGACTTTTAAGACTGCATAATTCTGTCTTCACACAGGACGAAGGGTGTCTGTCCTGTGAAGTGCCTTACTCCTAGCAGCATACCATCCTGGGTCTCTCCTCAGTAATAACTAGTTGCACCATTTCTACTAATCTCCCAGGTGGTAACCACCAAAATGTCTTCAGAAGTATTCTCCTGACAGTGAAATCATTGCACCCGTGTAGTTTGTGGAGAGCTACACAAACAGAATGATTTGGATTCAATTCTGTTCATCATCTAATTGATCAACCTTAACATAACATATGGGCCAGGGAATTGGAACCAGGAAATAGCTATGTCAGAACAAAGTTAACTAGAGATTCTTTTTGGGGTTTGTTTTTTGGGGGGGTCACAAGTAGCTGTGTGTGCTCTGGGCTTACTCTTGTCTGCACTCAGGGGACCATACAGGATGTGGGGGATTGAACCCAGGTCAAGCCTAATGCCCTACCCGCTGTACCATCACTCCAGCCCCTGATTCTTAACTTGGCTGTGATCACTGAGGAACCTCTAAACATTACTAATGCTTCCAGCAAAATGCCCCATGCCCCCCACAGAGGCATGAAACTCCCTTCCCCCAGCCATCACAACAAAGGGGAGGTGGGAATGTCACTAATGACCAGCTCCCATTCTACAATTTCTGACTTAACTGGCTAATGATTTAACTGACGGGACCTTGGCATCTGAGTTCTTAAAAACTCTCCAGGTGAGTTCTCAGCAAACCCAAGTTTGGGAACCACAAAAACACTTTGGGTAGTTCTTTCTTATTTGCAACCTGGGTTTTTTGTGCATGTGTTTTAATTGTAATTTATTTATTTAGGTTGGGGGCGGGGGGTCACATCTAGCGATGCTGAGGGGTTACTCCTGGCTCTGTGCTCAGGAATTATTCCTGAGATCGGGGAACCATATGGGATGCCAAGGATCAAATCCGGTGCACCCTACCTGCTGTACTATCCTTTCAGCCCTCTTGCAGCATGTTTTTTAAACAAAGTCCTGGCCTCCTCAGGACCTAATCAGAATCTCGCTGCCAGAGTGTTGAAATCAAGCTAGCTCCTAGTGCCTAGTTCAAGCAGCAGCTAGTTAAGAACTAAGGTGAATCTGTAGGGTTAAGTTTGCCTTTATCAGTGCTCCTCAAACACCCGTCTGCACAGAATACATAGAGCTAGGCTCTACCCTCAGACTTTATCATTGAATAGTCCTGGAGTTGGACCCAAGAACGTGGCTCAAAGTTCAGAGGTGGTGGAGAGAACGAGCAAAGGCCTGGGCATTTGTGGGAGATCCGATTTGATGCCCTGCAGTGGATGCACCCTAGCACTAACCAAGCGGAGTGACCTTGGGGGCACCCAGCCCAGGCCAGGAATAGTCCCTGAGCACAGATGTGGCCACAAAACAAAAAGTACCAGGTGAGGGCCACAGTTCCCTCTATTGGGGACCAGTCACTACAGGGGAAGGGAGACAGCAAAAAGCGCTGGAGCATGTGAGGCCCAGTTGGAACCCTGATGCCCCATGACACACTCCCAGCACAGGTGTAGACTGGCGATTCCCCCAGCTCCTCCAGCCGTGGTCCAACGAACTCTCAGCACCTCTGGGCCAGGACAGAGCTGCTTTGCTGGGTTCATCATGGATAAAATTAAAAAAACAAACAAACAGACAAACGAGGGCCCTGAATTTCTAAGAGGGAGCCCAGGGTATGCCCAATGACATATTCACGAGGCGGAGGAGGAGGGGAGAAGAGAAAAAAAAAAGCTATATTCCCAGTTGAAGGGTCAGTAATGCACATTTCCACTCGGGCCAGAAACCAAGAGTGTCTCCAAAGGAAGGTCTTCATATAAATGACAATGGGGGGGGGGGGTGTGGGAGAGGAGGAAAGGTCGGACACATGCAAAGTAAATGCTGGACCACTAAAGCAGCATTCCTGGCCCATGAAAGCCTGCAAGTTTGGGAAGAGGAGAGGGCAGGGCAGAATGCTGGACGCAGGCTTTGGAAAATCTTTTTTTTTTTTTTTTTTTACTTTTTTCCCTCCTCCCCTCTGGTTACGCCCGATCGAGACCTAAGGGACTGTCAACTCTGCAGACCGGGTTTCCCCCAACACGCTGGCTTCCAAGGGGCCTGCCTGCCCATGCTAACTTGCACGATGACCTCGGGGAGGGAGGGGGAGGGTGGCGGGGCTCCCCCCGCGCCGCACAGCACCGCGCCGCGGACCGCCGCCAGGCCCCTACCTGGCAATAGAGCCGATAGAGGGGCACCGCGGCGTAGGACGCCCCCAGCATGCCCACGGCGACCGCGGCCACGTACGTGAGCACCGTCCGGTTGCGCCGCCGCCAGTCCTCCTCCTGCGCGCGCGAGAACGGGTTCGTGCTCTTGGGCCGCCGCGGCGGCAGCAGCAGCAGCAGCAAAGGGCAGCGCGCCCTGCGCACGCTCGGGCGCCCCCACGCCCACGTCGCGAGCCGCCTCAGCCCCGTCTCGGCGGCCGCGGGCCCCCGGCTCCACTCGGCCGGCCGGCACAGGGCCCCGGCGGGGCGCCAGGGCCCACCGCGGAGAGCGGCGTGCCGCCAGCCCGCCCGCCAGAGCCCTCCCATGGCTCCCGGAAAGGGCGCCCCGCCGGCCGCTCTCGCGAGGACCGCCGGCTCTCGCGAGATCCGGGCCCGAGAGCCTCGCCGCTGCCCGGGCAACCCGGCTCTCGTGGGGCCGCCGCTCTTAAAAGAGTCGGGCTACGGCGGCCGGGTTGCCGGGCAGCGGGTAAGTTCGCTTTTTTTTTTTTTCTGGTGGAGGGTGGGAGTGGTGGTTTTTTTTTTTTCTCTTTATGGCGCTTTTTCCCACTTTGCTTTCGTCCCGTGCCGAATTTTCTAAGAATATGCCTTGCGCTCCGCGCGGGGTGCGAGTTCCAATCCGCCTGAACCCCTCCAAGCAAGTCTTTGTCTACACTAGGAAAGCGCACCCGCGCGATCTTTCCCTGAGGATACCCTCTCTGGCCGGGCTGTAGCATCACCTCTCCCTGGAACCCTTCCCAGGCTTAGCCACAATCCACTGGAGAACCCCCAGCCTCTACATTTATGTTTCAACCCCTGGGACTAGGGATGAGGCGAGGCTGCTCCCCTGCACCCCGCCCCTTAACCCAGTAGAAAAGACCTGGGTGACGCGGGACAAGAGTTCTCACATTTGCAGTGTGTTTAGGGGAGAGACCGGGGTGGTAAGGATGACTTGAAGTGGGAGTGGGGAGGCAGCGAGGGTTGTTCGTCTTGGCCAACAAAGACCCTTCTCTCGTCCCGCTGGGCGAAGGAGGACCCCGGGGTCTGTTTGTTGGTGGAAGGAGCTGGGCAGCCAGTGGCTAAACTCCCGACACAGAGAGGTTAGAAATTCGACGCCTCACTTTGCCCTTACTCTTAAGGTTGTTTGACTTCTCTTAAGATGCTTTGCCGCAGGGGAATCATACTAGGGTGTGGAATCCTGCCTGCAAAAGCGGTGCTCACGTTGCCTGAAGCAAAGTTTTAGCAGTTGGTAGGCCTTATTTGTAATGTGCAACGCCCTCTAGTCACTTCTCATCCCGAGGACCCTGAAGGTCTGGGAAGTTAGATACATTTGTTTGTTGCACTGCGGTTGGGGGCCAGGTGCTGGTCGTATCGCTGGGACTGAGAGCACAGGAAAAGTCAAAATCCAGTTAGTTTGTAATGGAGAGGCACAGGAGGTAACAAGTTACTGACACTATGCAGCGAAGGGAATTTAAGTTAATTAGCACAATGAAGGCGATGTAAATGGATCATGTGATTAAAATGGGAGTAGGGCAGGGCAGTGAAAGAAGTTAGGTGACATGTGATTTTGTTTGTTTGTTTGTTTGGGGTCACACCCAGCATGCTCAGAGCTTACTCCTGGCTCTGCACTCAGGAATTGCTCAAGAGAGGTTGGGGGTACCGTGCAGGGTACCAGGAAATCAAACCCAGGTCTGCTGCTGTGGAAGGCAAGCCCAAGTTAGGTGACATTTGAGCCTGACAGTTCTAGCGTCAAATGACATTTGAAGCTCCTGTGAATGATGATGAGGAACTACCTCCACATTGATTATTCCAAAAGCAAGGAATGAGTCAGAGGCAACAAAGAATTAGAGAAAAGGAGGCCAGTGTCTTCCCAGCTGCTAGAGCAAGTAAAGGGGATTAGAACAGGTATAGGGGGACTCAGATAGTTCAGAGCCTTTTAAATCCTTTAACCACACAGACTTGGATTTGACTCAGAAAGCAATAGGGCTGGGGACATTGATGGTGGGAAATCCACACTGGTAAAGGGACAGTTATAGGAACATTGCATGACTGAAACCCAATCATAAGTAACTTTGTGTTCAATAAATGGCGAATACAAATTTATTGAATATTGTATTTAATAAATGGTAAATAAACAATGATTCCTTTAAAATTATATATTTTTTAAAAGAAAAAAGTTAAAACACTGAGGGTTTGATCATAGATTTTATGTCTTTATTTTTGGTGTGTGTGTGTGTGTGTGTGTGTGTGTGTGTGTGTAGTGGGGCGGAGGGTTTGGATCTCTCCTGGTGATGTAGGTGGACCACGGATGGCTCATGTGAGTCGGAAGGAGAGAAAGACGGCCACTTTCTCTCGATCTACTCTGCCACCTGGGACCCAGGGTTACTGGGTTCTTGTCTCACTCGCAGAAAAGAGAATTTCAGGAGTAGACAAGCAGTGAAGTAAACAGATTTTATTTGGAGGGTTTTGAAGGGAAAGAGGAAGAGAAAGTGGGAGAGTGAGAGAGACAGAGTAACGTGCTCAAGAGAGAATGTGGGCTTCTCCAAGGGCGAAGAGAGCCCCTACACTCACCCCAGCATTAGATAGAAAAGCATAAAAGTACACATCTCAAGAGGGGAGATGAGGGCGACACATGTGCTCAGGCACCACAAGACCTCGGGCCCAAGCAGCACATGGGATGTGCAGCATAAGCTATGCGTGCCCTTCCTTTGTTCACAGTGGCTCTTTTAGACTCTTTGTGGTTTTAAAATTTTTATTAGTGAGACATCATGAGGTACAGTTGTAGACTCACAATTTTTTGTGCTTGGGTTTCAATTATACAATGATCAAATACCCATCCCTCCACCAGTGCCCATGGATTTTTGAGGAGAGGGACTTCATGGGGAGGGGTCCAGTCTCCTCAGGGTCTGCTGATGGTCTTATCAGGTCTTTGTTATCCGTATCCACAGAGTGAATCAGTCTTAAAATTTCCCTTCCGGAAGTTTTGTTGACCTAAGTTTCATTGCTGAGGGCCTTTCCCTGTCTACCTGCCTACATCACTGGCAGTGTTGAGGGTTTACAAATCAATAACAGCAACAACAAAGCAATAAGAAGCTCTTAGAGATTTCAAGGTATCAATGAAATGGCTATGATTTCACATGTAATTAGTGACTAGGTTGTAGAGCATGAATTAAAGGGATGGCACCAAATAATGGAAATAGAACAGATAAGCCATTGCAACAGTGCAAATCACAATCACAATCAAATCACAAATCATCCTGTTAATCGTCGATTGCCTCGAGCAGACCCCAGTAACGTCTCCTTCATCCTAGCCCTGAGATTATATTCAAGGCTCTTTAGGAGAATGAGACCCATCATTGTTACTGGTATTTGGCATATTGGGTACGCCACAGGGAGTTTGCCAGACTCTGCCGTGTGGGCAGGCTACATTCGGTAGCCTGCCAGTTTGTCCAAAGTAGGAATGAGATAATAAGATGTCATAATAAGATGTCGTGCCGTGGTCCGGTTCCGGGACCTGGTTTTTATAGTACCTTCATGTGTGCGCAGAGTGGTCTCAGCATGGTGGTGGCTGGTCCTGGAGATCTTTGGCTGCCAGAGCCCTGGTCGGGGCGGGGAGGAAAGCTCAACCCGCTCCCCTCCAAGGGGAGACCACTATCCGCACACATGAAGGTACTGGCAGAGGGACAAAGTCACGCGGGTTCCTGGGCCGAGATCTCCAAACCTGCAACAGTGCAGGGAATGATAATGCTCACCTTGATTGAGTAATTGATTAACTTGTGGTCACAGGGTAAGAAAGAAGTGTTCATATTGTTTTATGAAAATGTTTGAAATTTTTTTCATCTTCATCTGCCTTATCTGTCTGTGTTTATGTTGTCAAGTTTTTTTTTTGTGGACAAGATTCTCTCTCTCTCTTTCTCTCTCTCTCTCTCTCTCTCTCTCTCTCTCTCACACACACACACAAGTATATTGTACTTCACCACTTACAAGTCTTTCACATTAATGCTCAGTTTACCATCAAGATATCCCTGAGATGGAGACAGTACAGCTATTGCTCTTCTCATTTAACCGGTGAGGATAGCAAATCTCAACAGTTTATTGATGAGTTCTATAGTTTGTAAATGATTTGGATTATGATTTTTTACCTTAATTTTTATTAGACTGTGTGATTTTCTATGTTGTTCATAATAGAATTGTTTCAGGCTTGCAATGATCCAACACCAACCCCTCCAGCCAATGTACCCAGGTTCCCTGTCACCCCCAAGCCTGCTCCCTTGGCAAGCATGTAACATATATTCTTTTTTTTTTTTTTTTTTTGCTTTTTGGGTCACACCTGGCGATGCACAGGGGTTACTCCTGACTCTGCACTCAGGAACTACCCCTGGCGGTGCTCAGGGGACCATATAGGATGCTGGGAATTGAACCTGGGTCAGACACGTGCAAGGCAAACGCCCTAATGGCTGTGCTATCGCTCCAGCCCCAACAAATATATTCGTATTGCTTGCTCCAACAAAAGAAATTTGTTGGAATTAAATAAAGAAATGAAAATGGAATTATGAAAAAATAAATCAATAGAAGTCAATTGCGATTGATTGCTAGATGATTTTAACCTATATAAATAAATGAATTTAAATAATTTAATACAATATAATAACTATTCTTATATACATGCATTTTCAATTCTGCATCTAAATATATTGTACTAAATTTTGTTCCGTATGCACAAATAAATATTATTATGGTAATTCCCATGTCTTTCCTGTCACAAATAAAATGTTTTGTATGTACAAAATGATTTGTATCATTATTAGCCTTTGACTTAAAATTCCAGCACCCAACCATTCTTGCTACTTGCCCTACCCACTTCACAATGCCAGTGAAACTGAAATGAATTCAAGCTTACATCAAAGCTAATTTTTCGTGATATGGGGCACATATCCCTTCTCATATCAGCTTATATATAAATTCAGAATTTTGTATTACCTCTGTTGGGTGTTCAGAGAAGCCACTAAGCAAGTTAGGGGAAGTCTGTGATCCTGCTTAAAGTTATGTAGATAACCAGGGTAACTGCTGTGATAGCAAGTTGAAAAACAACACATAAAGGTCAACTTGCAACTTGAACCCACTGAAGCACAGAGCAGAGCAAAGCAGCTTATCAGATTGGGCATAATGGCTTGGAAGGAAAGAGTGGTGGCAGCACAAAAAGTGAATTGGCACACACAGTTATGGAAAGTAGTGTAAGAGAAGAGTTGTTAGGAGTTAAGGAAACTTGCAGAAAGTTCTGGAAGCCCATGCAAAAGCATCTTATGTCACACATCTCTTTATTCCAGTCAGAGACAGTGAATAGTGTCCTCTTCACTTTAAAGAATGATTCTACCTGTGCTCATATCCTGAGCTAATCCAAGGAATTGTACCATACTGAATTTATTTGACTAAATCATAATCAGTACCAACATTGCTAGTCAAATAATCAGAGGGCTTTTTCATTATTGTTTTGTGGTCATACCTGGCAATACTCAGGCTTACTCCTGGCTTTGTGCTCAGGGATCACTCCTGGAAGGGCTCAGGGAAGCATATGTAGTGCAGACGCTCTAAATTAATTTCTAGGCAACGCATTTCTGGATTCTCTGGAGTAGTAAATCCTAAGTGATGCTTTCATAAAAATCCCAAACACTGTTAGATTTCTCTAGAACTTCATATAAAGCTACCAGTAACCCATTTGGCCTCTCATACACCCTGGCTTCTCCAAATACCTCTAGAACTGCTTCTCCAAAAACCTCTAAAACTGTGGCTTTGTCTGGGGTTACAGAGACAGTGGTGACCATGATAGTGACACCTGGGATCATGGCTTATAGGTGAGAGGGAGAGGTTGGTGTTGGGTTATCCAGGCAGTGCTTAGGGCTTACTCCTGGCTTTCTGTTTAGGGATCACTCCTGTTAATTCTGGGGATCAAACAAGGTTCAGCCTCATGCTATCTCTTCGGCCCCAAGATGTTTTGCATTTTTAGCTCTCCTCCAGCACTTTGGACATTATCCAGCATGTTAGGTAGATGAAATAATTCAAGCACTTAAATTTCAGTTTTTAAAACAGAAATGTTTTAAAGATCTTAGTTATGATGTAGATGGAATACATTATAGAGTTCCATAATGACACATCCATTAGTCTTGGATATTTTTTTGTAACTTGGGTTCCCCAAACCTCATTAAAACAAATCACTACTAGTTAGGATCTAATTCTCTTTGGTTCTGTATTAAAGACCATTCAGGACCAGAGACAGAAGGTAAGGCACTTGCCTTGCATGTGGCTGACCTTCGATTGATATCAGACACCCCATATGGGACCCTAGCACCACTAGGTGCAGTCCTGAGTACTGCTGGGTATAGTTCAAAAAAATAAATACAAATCAAGACCTTAAGTTTTTATACCCCCCTTAATCCACACTGCACACCTTTGAGCTAGGTATTACTATCCCTACCTTAATATTAGGAAATAGTTAAGTTTCCTAAGCAAACAGCAGATTTGCTATTTGAACTCAGCTTTTTGAAATTTTGGTCTAATGCATTTTCCAGGATATTAAATAAGGTAAGTAAACATGAAACACTTGGCACAGTATGGGACACATGGTGCCAAAAAATTGTAATTACTATTATTAGCATCAAAACTTCCTCCCTTGAAGTTTGTGACCCCTCAATGCACTGTTGTTAAGGCAATCAGCGATAAACATGCAATGAAAGCATTTTTAAAATTAAGCTCTCTTCATGACTACTTCAGTCTGTGGACAATTTTAGTGTCTCTTAACTATGAATCCTCACTTCCCCCATGCCTTGAATCTATCATATCTCTCCTTCCCCGCCTCTTTTTCCAAGGGATTCTGAGAAACCTTCTAGCTGCTCAACCTTTAACTTTTACTGCTGGTATTGGTGTTGGTCGATGGGTCTCTGTTGCTGTTTCTGTATACTTTCTGCTATACTTTAAAAGTTTGAGTTGAATGCCCAGGTCAGTCTAAATAAGCAGCCTGGGCAATTGCTCCAAGTACTGGAATGCATGGTTTGCATGTGGGAGGCCTGGGTTTGATCACCAGCCTCCTACATCCCCCTACGGCTGCCACTGACTGGGTATGGGCCAAAAATAAAAAAAATAAAAACAGACAAATATAGGGGCTGGAGAGATAGTCTGGTGGTTAAAGCACTGACTTTGTACCCAGCCCATCTGGGTTCAATCTCTAGCACCCCTATATAGTCCTCCACACCCCTCCAGGAGTGATCTCTGAGCACAGAGCCAGGAGTTAGGAGCCTGAACACAACTTAGGTGGGGCCCAAAACAAAACAAAATAAATAACTGTAAATGAATTTGTTAGGCTCCCAGAAGTTAGTTAGCTTTGGGGTGTGTGTGTTTGTTTGTGTGTGTAAGCAAGCAAGCAAGCAAGCAAGCAAGCAAGCAAGCAAGATACATTCCTCTTACATCTCCTTGCAGCTATTCCCTAGACCCAGAATTTTCCTGTCAGTCGGTTCCCCTGGTGTGCTGAGTTACTGATCACCCTTCACCTTCTTGAAGGAATAGCAGTGAGATCTTTTTCTCCCAGTACACCATGCACTTGCAATCATTTCTTGTATATGTGCTTAATTTTTAGCAGTGGTATATTTTTCTAGCTTTTAGCTCCAAGTCTTTCTTTATCAATTATTACTGTGCCATTTGTTTTGGGTTTTTTTTTCTTTTGTCTTCCAGAAATGTTTTGAAATTTTTCACCTGATGGCTCATTCTTTTACATTTTGAGCTTGTTCTGTTTATATTTTATGATATTTTTATTTGTGAGTTCTTTGGAGGGAGAGAAAACATCTGTCACGGTCAAGCTGCTATTTAAGACTGAGAATCAGATTTTTAAAGATTAACTGTATCTTGGTTTAGTTGATTTTCATAGCAGACAGCTCACAAGTAAAGTAAGACCTGCTGGTAGGTTTCTGCATGCTTATCCTTTTGTAAAAGCATCTGGATAATCAAAATGTACCTACTGTGCCTCTTGGGACACTGAGACTTGGAGAGGCAGAGAAGCACCAGTTGTAACCAGGTCAATCCAGCCACGGGGCTCTAAATTCTAAAGCCTCTATTCCTGGCTACTTCTATTTCTTCTTTGTGTGGGGAAAGCACTGGGATCTCTCTCTGAGTCTAGCTTCTCTTGAAGAGGCTTGTGCTCCATGATCTTAGTATTTTTTTTTCAACCTGAATTTTTAAACTTCATATTTCTTTTTGCAGAGGTGGTAAATTTCCATTCATACCGTGCCAGTGTTTTCCAGCGTGGAGTGATCCGAAACTGTGAGACATTGGCTATTAGACTTTTCTTTCTTCTCCTAGGAAAGTTTTTCAGACATTGCGGAGTGAGTCAGTTTAACCGAGTCTCCGCAGGGATCCCACAAGATAATGGTAAGACAATGGGGATTTTTTGTTTTGTTTAGCAATGCATTAGTTTGTTTGTTTGTTTGTTTTTTTACTACATTCTGGCTACACTAGCCTATCCTTATGATCACAATGACATTTTCTCAGTCTTCATTTATTATGTAGGTAAGCTTATTTATGATGGGAGCTTTAATACTTATCTAACTTAACAATAGTCTCTATTTCTGCCAGAAAATGCAGATTTTATAGGGAGAGATGTGGGTAATGATATTCACATCGCCCTAGAGTGCGTACTCTCTTTTTCCCTTTTTCTTTTTTTCTTTTTTTGCTTTTTGGGTTACACCCAGCCATGCACAGGGAATACTCCTGGCTCTGCACTCAGGAATTATTCCTGGAGGTGCTCAGGGGATGATATGGTATCCTGGGAATCGAACCCAGGTCGGCCATGTGCAAGGCAAACACCCTACCTGCTGTGCTATCACTCCAGCCCCTCTTTTTCCCTTCTTGCATCTTTACATTTCTTAGCTATCAAGCAATGACTAGAGTACCACATCCCCAAATATCTAGTCTCTACACATACTCACATATTGTCTATGTGCCAAGTGTATGTGTAATGGTTTTGTGTGAAGTTGAAATTAAATGTGACTGACATCACTTTGTTTTCTGCTTTTATAATCTTAGGAAAATTAGAGTTTCTAGAGTCTTTATCAAGATCTTCATTTACACAGCTGTTAAGTCCAAGGCTACTGTGGTAAAGCCATGAATAAAACTGCATCTATGATATCATCTGATCTGCTCGAAAAGTAAGTTTTAAAAAATAGGTGTGTGTGTGTGTGTGTCTGTGTGTGTGTGTGTGTAGGGGGAGTTGGGGGGAGTGGGCATCCCAATTATTATTTAGGGGTGATGAGGTGCTGCTAGATCCCAGTGGTGTTAGGTGCCACCAGGGCCATGCCCAGAAGTTACAGGGTTTGGGAGGATATGGGGATGAGAGGGCATTGTGATACTAGGAATGGAACATTGAATTTGGGTCTCCTCATTTCACTCATACACCCTAACCCTTTGAGCTCTCTTGCCACCCCTTCAAAAGTAATTTTTAAACTTAAGATGTTAAGAAATATTATCATCTGAAGCATATACAAACTATGGTCAAAATAGCAGTAATGAGAAAGTTGATCAGAAATTATCTTTCCATATAAAACATTTTGAATTCAATTATCTTTTCTTATTTTTCAGAGATTGTTTTTCCAAATGTGTTCTGATTTTTTTAACTATCACTATCACTATCACCCCATTGTTCTTCAATTCGCTCAAGCGGGCCCAGTAACGTCTCCATTCGTCCCTGTCACGTACAAGTGTAGCCCGATGACATATCGGGGGCTCCTTCAGGGTCAGGGGAATGAGGACCATTCATTGTTACTGTTTTTGACATATTGAGTACACCACGGGTAGCTTGTCAGGCTCTGCTGTGCAGGCGGGATACTCTTGGTAGTTTGCCGGCCTCTCATAGACGTTTGGAGGCTTTTGGGGCAGCCTCTAATCACCTTTGTAGGTGTTCCTAGTCAGGCATATAGGCAGGTATGATATTCTCAGTAGCCTGCCGGGTTCTCTGAGAGTGAGAACTAGAGAATAAGAGGTCAGGGAACTTGGTTTTATAGTCTCTGGATGGCAGTTGGTGGGTGTAACTGTCTAGCTACTGGAAGGTGGGGGAGCTGGGTGGAGGAGGCCCAATCCCCAACTGAGCAGGCTTGGAGATCTCAGCCCCGGGTCCCGCACACCTGGGTTCCTCTGCCCATTTCTCGTCCAAGCGTGTGGAGAGTGATCACAGCATGGCTTTGGCTGGGTCCCGGAGGTCTTCAGCTGTTACACCCACCAACTGCCGTGTAACCCCATCGACGGCCATCCAGAGACTATAAAACCAAACTCCCAGAAGAGAACAAGGCAGAGTCTCCTGCCCCCACTCCTGGCTGTTCTTACTGGGGCCCCTTGGAGGAGGGCGGGTTGAGTTTCCCTCTCCGCCCCAAGCAGAGCCCCGCCAGCTGAAGACAGCTGATTTTTTTTTAACATCTAAAATATTTTCTGATTTCAGTATAAAATTGTATAATGCCGGATTAGTTTTTCTTTAAGTAGCAAACCATCCCAAAGAGCCTCAAACTATCATTCATTCCTTCTCAGGATTCTGTGAGTTGGCTGACTTGTTCCTCAGGTCTGCATTAGATGATATAGGGTGACCACATTCACATAGCTCAGGTCCTGATTCAGGAAGGCTCCATGGCTGAGCTCTCTTTTGACCTTGCCCCTACTCTTCCAAGAGACTTACACAGGCTGAATGGTTCCCAGTCACCAGCAGAGGTGTTTTTCAAAGTTTTGTTTTCTTCATGCTAGCTGAAGCAAGTTAAATAGCCAAGTTTACCTCTATCAAATTTAAAAGATAGAGGTAAAGACTTTCCTTTAAAAAACAAAATGTGCATGTGTGTTTGTGTGTGTGTGTGTGTGTGTGTGTGTGTGTGTGTGTGTGTGTGTATTTCAGTTTTGGTTCACACCCAGTAGTGTTCAAGGAGCCTTTAAGTCAGGTGCTTGCTGACTTGGATCAAATCCTGATTGGCTACGTGCAAGGCAATCACTCTACCCTCTATCCATCTCCCTACCCATCCCCCCATGACCCAATACTGTAGTTTGATGGGAAAAACACTAAAGTAACATGACAAGGGATATGTGGATATGAAAGGGAAAAACTGATGGCTGTTTTGCAGACTTGTAACATACATGCAGTAAGGTTGAGCTTGTGATTTACTGTGTCCACATTTCTCCTGTAATAATCATTTCTATTCTTGGTTGTTTTTAGTGTTTCTTTATATATAAGCAAACATATAAACAAATGAATATGTACATATGTTTTTGTATGTACACATATGATATATATATATTTCACAGATATTATGCTATGCAAGTGTTCACTGTACTGCTCTTCTAGTCTTGGATATATATTAAACAAGTATGTATCAACTCTTAGGCTCCACCTCACAGGCCTTTTCCTAGAGAAGGGTGTGAGGCTACTTAAACTCTGTGCCTCGTTCCTAGAAATGCTGGAAAGCTCCCATCGCCTCAGTGCACAAGCCAGGCCCAGTTGTGTTGGGATTCAAATAGCTCCATATACAGAGTTCTGTGTCTTGGCACTCCTTAGTTGTAATCTCTGGTATAGCATAGACATTTGTGTATTTACGATTCTTCCACCCCTCTCAGAGATCCCGGCAAGCTACCAAGAGTATCTCGCCCGCATGACAAAGCCTGGCAGGCTACCTGTGATGTATTCAATATGCCAAACACGGTAACAAGTCTCACAATGTTACTGGGCATGCTCAAGCAAATCAGTGAACAACAGGAGAACAGTGACAGTGACAGTGACTTCAGGAAAAATCAAGCCCATCTAAAAAATCAAAATTGAAGCAAGGGGTCTCCAAACACCAAGGTTCCAGCTACTAGGAACCACTTACTAGCTTATTTTTATTTATTTTTACCAGGGTTGAGGGAGGGAGCAGTACAGAAAATTGCCTCCCAAATAGGACTCAGAAGGCCCAAGGAATGTGCCCAGTAATAATCAATCAACCTGACTTCACAGTTCAGTGCTAGGACCCATCAAACAGTGCTGCTCAGCTCCAATGGTGCTGCGAACTACCAGGTCCACACTTGATGGTGCTGATGGTCCATGCAGTGCCAAGCATCAAACTTAAGTCTTTGAGCATGCAGCGCATATGCCCCAGATCCCTGTGCTATCTCCTTGCCCTTTAGCATTTTCTTAACACAAAGGTCTCGTGTGTGTGTGTGTGTGTGTGTGTGTGTGTGTGTGTACATACACATATTATTGTTTTTATCTTGCATTTAAAAAATACCCTGGTGATCATATAAACTTATAAAGAGTTTCCTTGTGCCTTGTTATAACTGCATTGTGTTTCATCATGTGCATGTATCATAGTTTATTTCATCAGTATCTTATTAATAGGCAATTGAGTTGTTTGACATTTTTTTAATGTAAAACTACTACTTTTTCAGCCACTGATTAAGTAGACTGAACTAGGCATGAAGTCCACATTGTGTGTGTGTGTGTGTGTGTGTGTGTGTGTGTGTGTTAATTTTATGTTGAGTATCTGTGAGATGGACAATTACAAAGCTGTTCGTGATTGGGTTTTAGTCACACAGTGATCCAACACCCATCTCTCCCTCAGTGTGTATTTCCCACCACTAGTGTCCCCCATTTCCTCCCACCACCATCCCCAACACCCCCTCTCTCCCATCCCCAGCCTCCCTCTATTTTTGTGCATAGTGGTTTGCAATACAGGTACTAAGAGGTCATTGTGTTTGTTAAGGGCATTCAGTATTTTTATCGGGATGGTAAGGCTGGAGTAGTTTTTCAATTGGGTGTCAGCTTTGGGGTGTGGATTTGACTGCCAAGGCTTCCAGAAGTACAGGGAGGTGGGGGGATGTCACCCATCCCGAACCCAAGAAAGCCTAGAGCTTTCAGTCACAAAACCCATATAACCAGAATGTTTAGCAGATTATATCTCAGTGAGGAACTTCCTGGGACGGTGGAGTCAGGCTGGGGGTATGGCGGTGCATTTGGATTGTGGAAGTAAGAGGCTGCTGGGGCCTCTGCTTGGGCAGACACCAGACTAACCCACCCATCCCCTCTCCGATTTACCCCAGTCTGTTCATCCACACATGGGTCTGAGCTTAACTGCGGCTTTTGATCTCTTTCGAGATTTATTTGTGGGTCTCTGAAGCAAGGCTGAAAAATGGACTCGTATAGCTGAGCTGGAGGTCATCACTTGTCAGCATCACTTCCACATACCTAACTTTTGGCCATTTAATTTCTCAGGAAATTTGGTCCCAAGTTCTAGGGGTCTGACCAGAGGCACAGTGGCTATTTTGAGGTATTAGGAAGCCTGAAGCCTGGTGCACTCACCCCGCAGATACAAGTTGCCTGCTGGTGGCACCGTATCTTCTGTTTGAAATGTTTGATGATTACTTATGCAAGAATGATTAACCATCCTAATGCTTGAGTCATCTCTCTTTTCTTTCTGTCTTTTTTTTTTTGCCAGAGTATCTTTAAGAAAGGTTCTTGGAAATGAGATTGCTAGATCAAATTGCCTCTGATAAATATAGTATTTTAAGTATAATAAATATAGTATTTATGCACCATAAAGTGTACCATTCCTTAGCTGCACCAATATACAAAATAACCTTTTTTCCCATAGCCAGGACATAAGAGCATATTATCCAAGTTTTACATTTTTCTTGATCTGATAGGTAAATTAGGAGGATCTCTGCCTGGTTTTATCTCGTAATGAACATTGAGTGGCAGAACTATTTTTGATAGCAAAAAAGTGTTATAATTTTTAAAACTTAAGTAACACTGGATTTTAATATAAATTTCAAGTGTGTAGCTTTATGTTTTGACTCATGTATGCATGTCAACATGATCACGACCAGAATTCTTGTTTTCATCCATCATCATATAGTTGATCCTTTTGGCCACTTCATCCACTCCCCCAATAAGGCAGATGGTAACCCTTTAAGTCACATCCCTGGACATTTATTATTTAACTTTAAATATCATATTTTCTTAAAGATATGGCTAGAATTTTTATAGCAAAAGCTAAGAAAGTTTTTTTTTCCCAAAAAGCTTTTAATATATATAGGAATTATTTTTTCACTCAGTCTTTTTGTTTTTATTTACAAATCATACCTGTTGGTGCCCAGAGCTTTTCCCTGGCTCTTTTGAAAGTAATATTTACATAAATGCTAATATATCAGCCCTATACTATAACTTCCTTTATGGTTTATTTATTTAGTAGAAAAAAATTTAAAATATAACAAACAATCTATTTGATTGCTTTTGTTTCTCGGTATTCTTTTCATATGTAGTTGTTAGTATGTACTAAGTATTTAGAGTTATGAAGATAAGAATGTGATTTAATGTGTAATTTAAAGAAAAATCGGTACAGGTCTCTAAGTTAACCTGTGCATGCGGGTTTACTTTATCTTAGGGATCCTGCCTTCCAAATGATTACAATTACCAAGGAAACTGGCCTTGGTCTGAAGATACTTGGAGGAATTAACCGGAATGAAGGTCCCTTTGTATATATTCAAGAAATAATTCCTGGAGGAGACTGTCATAAGGTAAAAATAAAAATGATAAATTAATACCATCAATATTCAATTTGTAATAGCAAGGGTGACTCTTCATCTCTTCTATCACTGAATAGCAGACCCTCACACCCACAATGTGCTTTCTATTTACTGTGATTGTTTCTCAGTGTAAGGCACAAACTTAAGACTTGTAGGTCCTCAAGGAGCATTAGCCTAAAATGTGAAATATTATAGTAATAATATTTTGACTTATAGCTAAAATCTGTATATTTTTAATTATATGCTATTCTACTCTCATCCTAAATCTAGTTGAGAGACATATTTGAATGCATATCATCTATTCCCTGCTTTGCTTTTGCGTTGTTAGATCACTTAAAGTTGAGCTCGATTCATTTAACGCAGAGATTCCCAAATATTCTTGACCTCTACTCCTGGGACTGCTTGGGGGACCGTATGTTGTGTCAGAGATCACTCTTGGGGTCAGTTTCATGGAAGGCAAGCACCTTAATCCCTTTACTATCTCCCTAGCCCCAAGAAAATGTATTTTAGAAATTGTCGCTGTCATTGTCACTGTCCTCCCGTTGTTCATCGATTTGCTGGGCCCAGTAACATTGTGAGACTTGTTGTTACTGTGTTTGGAATATCGAATACATCACAGGTAGCTTGCCAGACTTTGCTGTTCAGGCAAGATACTCTCGGTAGCTTGCCAGGCTCTCTGAGAGGGGCAGAGGAATCGAGGGCGGAGGAATCGAACTCGGGTTGGCCTGGTGGGCCATGTGCAAGGCAAACGCCCTACCCGCTGTGCTGTAAGAAATATGTATATGGTGAGTTTCTTTTGCTCAGCAAATGTAGAGCTCCCCTATTACATCTGAAGCTGCTATTGCCCACTAAATAATTATATTGCTTGCTTTGGAAAAGACTGATTTCGCTGCTTCTACATGAAAGGTACATTAAACAAAATAAAAACTCGACAAACAAAATCCGCTCATTTCTAAATCATTTTTATTGAGTTTATAATTCTATTGAGTTTAATTTTATCACTTAACAGTTGCACACATGAGAAATTCAGTTTACAACTACATGAGAAATTAGATTGATGATTGAGATCAGACAATAGTATTTGGTAGAGCTAGGGAGATGGGGTGGAGTTGGGTCACGCCCAACTATACTCAAGACTTACTCCTAATTCTGTTCAGGGATCACGCTTGGGTTCAGCTTCATGGAAGGTGAGCACCTTAACCCATGTACTATCTCTCTAGCCCCAAGAAAATATATTTTAGAAATTAGAAAGTATTACTCTCTTCTTCAGTGTGAGAAATATTTATATAGTGAGTTTCTTTTGCTCTTCTTGCTAGGAACTTCAGGTCCAAATTTGCAGTTTTCCAGAAAGTTTAGTTAAACTAATACTATACTGAGGTTGAAGCGATAGTACAGCAGGCAGGATGCCTCCTTGCATGTAGCCAACCTGTGTTTGAAGATCTTCAAAATCCTATATTGTCCCTTGAGCACCACCAGGAGCATCACCGATGTGACCAAAAATAAAAAGAAAAAAAAGATACATTATTCACATTTTCATTTCTCTTGCATTTTATTAGTTATTTCTATTTTACTAATTGCACTACATATGCCTTTTTTTGTTGAATTTATACCAGACCAGTCCTTTTTGAGATGTAGGATATAAACAATTTAATAGACTGTTCTATTAATATCTAACTTAATAGAATAAATAAGAACAGATCCAATTATTGTTTAGTTTGTTTTTATTGTTGTTCTTATTCTAATTGGTTTGGTAAATAAGTAATTGTGTTCTTACTTACCCCTGCCACCCTTGATACTTTTAAACTGACCCTGGTCCTAATCCCTAATCCCTAACCCTAACCTAATCACTTTATCCATTCTTTTTCCTTATTAGGAAAAAATTAAATTTCATCAGTATCTTCTAAAATAAATTACTTAATTTTTCAGGTTTGTTGAATGAATAAGGCATATTCTAAAAACCTTTACCCTTATACAAATGTTATAACGATGTAACATTTTGACTATTGAATTAAATTATTAGCCAAATTAGCACATATGTAAGCTAAACTAACTCAAACAAAATGAAGTTTTTATTTATAAAACTTCAGCTGTTTAGCAATACTTTAGTTTTAAAGCTGAGAAGTGAATGTATATCTATTTGTGAGTGTTAAGTATAGCTAAGGTAATTTTAAAATTATACTTGCTATATTGCAATAAATAATCATAGTACCTATAAAATTTATTTTATTACAACACAGTTTACACTCACATGAATAATATTTTTAGTGGAAGAAAGAAATCAGTAGGATACTGCCGACTGACTCTTCATCTCTTCTATCACTGAATAGCAGACCCTCACACCCACAATGTGCTTTCTATTGCTGACTTTCATAGAATGGCACTTTTTGAAAGGGTACTACAAAGAAAAACCCAAAGGTAAAACCAGAATGTTGAGAGCAAGAAGACCAAAGAAAGGAAATTACACACAACGGAAAGCCTGTAAGATTCATAGCAGATTATCAAATGAGATTCAACCAGACAGAAGAGAATGGAGGGATATAGTACACATACTCAATGGACTGAACCTGTCACCAAGAATACTCTATGTAGTTAGATTATTATTCAGATTTGAAGGAATAATATAGAGCTTTGGGAATGACAACAACTTAGAGAACTCAAATCCTTAAATTTTATAAAAAACATTAAAGAAGCTTTTTTAAAAAAGCAAGATTAACTCCTCAACATTTGGCATTGAGTATGGCACTCACTCAAGGCACTCAAGGTTGTCCTCTAATAAATTAAACATTTGTTTATTACTATACTGTGTAATCTCCAGGTGGCACGGGAGGGCTCGGGGGCTTTCCCTCTCTCTCTCTTGATGCCCAGGTTCAGTGGACTTGGGCTGCTCCCTCACCCTGGGTAGCCCAGGAAGGAGGAAGTGAGGGCCAAGCTAGCTGGTGATCAGTTGCTGTTTATTCCATTCTCCCCACGTGCGGTGCATGTTCCAGTCTCACTAAACTCCGCGTTCTAGTCTCACACTGCCCCTCATTCCTGTCTCCTGTCTTTCCCGCTCATCTCTCCATGCTCCCTCTCACAGCCACTTCTCTCATCTCTCCACACGCCTGCTCCTCATTCTTCCCCCACATTTAAATCTCTCTGTCCCCCTTGCTAGTTTCTCAGCACTCCATCTTGCTGCCTTGCCCTCTCTTATTTATCTCTCTCTCCAATTTGGAGGTAGACATCACACACCAGCAGGTAGCAAATCAACATAAGAAAGTCCTTCCTTTGCTCAAAGGCAAAATACCACTTAAGGTCTTTTTCTCCTTTCCTCAGTCCAATAACTTAATTAACATCTTAATTCTACTTCTTTGATATTCGTTATTTTGTATGGACACAGTAAGAGATACATTGAGCTTGTAGGGTGGCTCTCCAGGGGACATCTCACCACAGACTCAGACTACAGTGTTCAGGCCAGATTAATCTTTCTTAATCTTAGCAGAGTCCGAGTCTAGTTATTACTTTTTGGATCATGACAGAATTTGTCCATGACCAAGCTTTTAACTTAGAGTTAACTATTATGGCGCTTTGGCCAGGCCCACTTCAATGCCAGGGTAGCACATAGCTCACAGCTTGCCCTGGGTCCATTCAGTCCCTCCTTGGGACCCTGCTTTTGTAGTGCTAGGAAATAAGGGCAGCTGAGGCTTAAGTTGAGAGAACAGATACCCAGGAACGAATATCATTCAGAGTCAGTTATCTCCCAAGTTACAAAAGCATAGCATTGTCTTCTTGTGTCCATACAAAAAGGACATTGCTCTGAATGAACTATGCAAAGAATTTAAAGAGAAGAGAAAAGCTATTTACAAGTCAACAGAGCACAAAGAAAAAGTTTACAAGTAAACACAGATGAATGGGAGCACTGTGATGAGAGCAACCCAATAAACCTAAGCTCCCTGCTGCAAGGCTGAAAAGACAAACTAATGCTATCCTACGCTGTGCTTCTCAAGAAATTTATGCATTAGCAATAATGATTTATCATTTTATTTTTGTTAAATGATATATGCTTTTCTTATATCCACAGAGATTTTTTTATTACAATCCTTTACTAACACACACTTTTTGCAGTATCAATATTTTCTAATATAAAGCCAGTGTTCCCTTCTTTAGGATAAAACATACTTTTATACTATGATAAGCCTATTCAGATTCTCCCCTTAAATTTTTCTTAATTCTCTTTGCATAAAATTATTGAATTTTACTTTTGTAGGATTTTTCTGTTTCATGTAAATCTTAAAATGTATTGACACAGAATTATTCATAGTATTAATTTTTTAATTTACATACCTATAAAAAAGATGTAGTTAAAAAATTACCTTATCAGTTTACCATTGATTTACAATTCTGTGGAATTCTAGTTTAGCTCCATTCACTTATGTGTTACCACCACCACAATATAAAACAAAAGAGAGAGAGAGATCAATTCCAAATATGCAGTTAAAAAAGAAATATAATAAGGGAACCACAAATTGTCAAAGTCATCAGAATTGAAAATTTTGTCTATAGAATTGCACTCTGAGCACACATAGCCCTGGTGGGGAAGGGTACTTGGGACACTGATGGAGGGAAGTGAGCTCTCCGGTTATGGGTATGGTATTGGAATGATGTATCCATAAAAAGTAAGAGTAAAAATATTGTAAATCTCAGCATCTCAATGTAAATGGTTTTTTTAAAAAAATACAAATTTTAAAAAACCCAAACCTGTAGTGAATACTCAAAATACTCTCTACCACTAGAGAGCAGCACGGAGTTATAAATGGTTTTTTATTATACCTGTTTCTGTTCAATAGAAGAAAATAGCCAAAATAGAGGAGAGTATAGACAAAAAAATCAGAACATTTGCAGCATTTATATTTATTTCATGTGAAAGTTATATGAATATTCAAGATGGAAGTTGTATACGCCTTTACTCTGCAAATACAAAATGAATGCGACTTTTTTTTAAATGCTTTGTTTTA